ATCTACTATAACTCTCGGGCAACAATCCTAGATTCTCCACTAGTACGCGAACGTCTCTAGCGTAAGAGGTTTTTTTCTCACCTAGGTATCCCCAATACTAGGTACAGTGATGACCCAGAGCAGACGACCCGACACTCTTCCAATTCAAGTATGAAGTAGCTGATAAGACTTAAAAATGGTTACAAAAGCCTGCGCAGGCGTAGCGAAGCCTTACCGGTCCGGGAGACGCTGCTGTAAAGGAAGGGTGAGCGGGAGGTTTAAATAGCTGACTGCAGTCCTCTGACTGGCTGCGCGACTCGCCGCATGCGCGCAGCTCGCAGGCACAGCCTCAGAGGATCTTCCACGCATGCGCGGGATCCCGGATATGAATCAGGTTGGTAGGAAGCGTGCGTTGCGGAGCAATGGCGGCGCTCACAATTGCGGCTGGTACCGGCAATTGGTTTTCGGCTTTGGCGCTCGGGGTGACTCTCCTCAAATGTCTTCTCATCCCCACCTAGTAAGGGACTCGTACGGCCAGGGACTGGGCGGGGGAGGCCCCGCGGTCTGTCAGGGCGGGAGAGAAAGGTGGGGATATCCCTGGGTATGAAGAGAGGGAACTTTAGGTTGTGTTTGTCGCTACCCTGTCTTTGCTAAGCTTTCCATTTCGTCGGTTGTTACTTGACTTCGTCCCAACTGGCTAGTTTCAGACCTGGCGCTGTCTGATTTGGAGCAAGTCACTTTAACGCTTATGAGCCACAGGGTCCTCATCCTTAATATTCCACCAGCCATTAAGCCAGTATATATAGAGAGTGAGAGAAAGAGACAGTCTTGCCCTGTTGCCCAGGCTAGAGTGCAGTGGCGCGATCTTGGCTTGCTGCAATCTCTGCCTCCCAGGTTCAAGCGATTCTTCTGCCTCAGCCTCCCAGGTAGCTGGGATTGTAGGCACCCGCCACCGCGCCAGGCTAATTTTTGTATTTTTAGTAGAGACGGGGTTTCACCACGTTGGCCAGGCTGGTCTCGAATCCCTGACCTCGTGATTCACCCCCCTCGGCCTCCCAAAGTGCTGGGATGACAGGCTTGAGCCACCAATCTCAGTCCATTCAGCAAGTATTATCAGATGCCTGAGGCTCCAGATACCATTCTAACTCGCGGAGATGGGGTGGTGAGCAAGACTTACTGGTCCCTGCCCTCTGTGGTGTTGGTGAGCAGAGCTAGACAAACAGGAAAGCTTCAGATTGTGATAAAAGAAATAGAGGGTAACTGTCTGGGTGCTACTCCTTTAGAAGGTGTTAAGTTAAAATTCCAAAAATGGAAAAGAATAAGCCATGTGAAAAGCAGTTCAGGCATAGGAAAGAGTAAATTCAAAGGCCCTGAGAAATGTCAGGGTAGGAAAGAAGTCAGAGCATTCTAGGAACAGAAAGTGGCCCTTGTGGCTGCAGAGCATTGAGGGAGAGGAGTGGCACAGGATGGGGTACAGAGGGGACAGATAACACAGGGTTACGAAGACCATAATTACACTGCTGTGTAAAAACATGGATGTAGGGCTAAGACTGAAAGCGTGGAAACCAAGAAGCAACCATCAAATGGTGGTGTGTATACAGTAGGTGCTCAATAGTTATTAATATTAGCTTCTGCCTTCCCCTCATCCTTCCTCTTTTCCCTTTTTCTTCCTCATCCCTTTTCTCCATTCCTTCCACTTCCTCCCACTTCCTAGGTTAGGGTTTGTTTTATTGATATTCTTTGATTTAGGCTCTTGGTGATCACTTGTTGAGTATGGGAGAGTCATATGTATAGAATGTAGGCCCATACTGATGTATGTATATTACTGATGTAATCATATAATTGGAATATAGAATAAGCAAAATGATTAACTGTGTAGACATGTAGATTAAGCAAAATGATTAACTGTGCATAAGGAGACATATCTTGCTTCAGTTGCTTCAGGGTAGAAATATATTCTCAGAGTTGTTATTTTTTGTTTGTTTGTTATTATTATTTTTTGACACAGTCTCACCCCACTCTGTCACCCAGGCTGGAATGCAGTGGCACAGTCTCGTCTCACTGCAATCTCTGCCACACAGGTTCAAGGGATTCTCCTGCTTCAGCTTCCAGAATAGCTAGGATTGCAGGTGTGCACCACCACCACGGCCAACTAATTTTTGTATTTTTAGTAGAGATGGGGTTTCACCATGATGGCCAAGCTGGTCTCAAACTCCTAATCTCAGCCCGCCTTGGCCTCCCAGTGTTGGCATTACAGGTGTGAGCCACTGTGCTTGGCCAGAGTTGTTATTTTGAACACTGCTCTTGGTCCAGATTAAGAATGTATGTAGACCGTGCTTAGTGGCTCATGCCTGTAATCCCAACACTTTGGGAGGCCAAGGTGGGCAGATCACGAGATCAGGAGTTCAAGACCAGCCTGACAAACATAGTGAAACTTCATCTCTACTACAAATACAAAAATTAGCCAGGTGTGGTGGCACTTGCCTGTAGTCCCAGCTACTCAGAAGGCTAAGGCAGAAGTATAGAATCGCTTGAACCTGGGAGGCATAGGTTGCAGTGAGCCAAGATCGTGCCACTGTACTTTAGCCTGGGCGATAGAGCGAGACGCCGTCTCAAAAAAAAAAAAAAAAAAAAAAAAAGTATGTGTATAGCACTCGCTTTGGCAGCACATGTACAGGAATACCTCATTTTTTAAACTTTGCTTTATTGCACTGCACAAGTACTGCATTTTAATTTTTTTACAAATTGAAGGCTGTGGTAGCTCTGCATTGAGCAACTCTGAATGCCTGCTGACGTAACATCTATTCTGCAGCCAGTTGAGTAGTTGATTTTTTTTTTTTTTTTTTGAGACAGGGTGTCACTCTGCCACT